TGACGGTCCATTCAGTCAACTTCATAGCATTTTTTAACAATCCAAAAAAAACTTCATAGCATTTTTAGGAGCTTAAATTTTAGGGATGCAACCTACTTAGCAACCTTGAAAGGAAATAAAAGGCATTCTATATACGTGCCCTACGATTGAACGGAGACACACCCAATTAAAAGTGTTTAGATACTCAAATTCGTTTTTTTTCTTTTTTGGAAATTCCTTCAAATTTTAGATGAAAGAAATTATCCAAAAAATGTCTTTTTTTATTGTGAGGCAGTGGGAAGGCCTTTGGTAGAAATTGAGTACAGAATATAGTGTTGCAAATCATCAAGCGCTACCCAATTAAGCCGAAGCTCTTTTCTTACAAAAAAAAATGGTCTTTTGCCAAGCAGTATAAGCATATCGTGTTAAGACGCACCCTATACGCACCCTTTTGGATTTTGAAAAGGAGTTTTAGATCGCCCTTTTTTTCTTATGGAATCAATTTTAATAGTGGAGAACCAAGATTTCACCACTCCCATACCATTTGATTTCCTTCAAACGAGACAGATTTCCCACAGAGGCCTGTCTAGTAAATTAGAATGTTTTCTTGAAGAATCTATGAGAAACTGTAAACCTGATAAAAATTGAAAAGTAGGGGAACTCATGGTTTGAAGCTGAGAATCTTTGTTCGGTAACCTGTGAGTGAAATCTAGAGAGAGCTCAAGCTAGAGCTTGGGCAAATAAAGATTGAGACGGGAGAGCGACTGTCAGGTTAGAGAAACTAAAATGGGACACATTTCCTTTTAGTGAAGGTCTCGTTGTTTCCCCCCCTTTCCTGAGAAATGAGCAGAGCTCGATTTTCTCAAAATTAAAAAAATTTATAGAAATACCCAAAAATGCGTTTTTTCATTTCCAAACAGAGAAAATACCTAATTGAGAAAACAACAATTTTCTACAATTTTCTCATAGGTGCAGTTTCTATAGAGTCAAGGCTCTAACCAGTGATTTAAAAATCGGATCGGTGCCCCGGATCGGGCACTTTAAAAACCCATCTAGATCAGTGAATCGATGATTCGGATCGGAAATCGGCCGACTCGGTCGGATTAAATTCTAAAAAAATCTAAAACAATTATTAAAATTAATTGTAAATATTGTCCTTTAGGAATCCAATAAGAAATGAGGGTACTCCATTGTTAACTTTCACTTTTTTCATCAATTTGTGAATATTGATATGTTTTTTCTCTGTATAAACTTATGTTAACTATTAAATTTACATCACACATAAGAAAAACCATATAATTATCATTGATAAAATATATAATCATACATGGACTACTATAAAGAGTAGATTTAATCAGTAAAAAATGGCCATCAAAAGCTCAAATTGGCGGAAAGCTCTAATCCCCTAAAAAACCCAAATTATTACAAACTAACTAACTATAATCCAAATTTATTACAACCTAACTAATTATAAGATTATATGTTGAAATTAAAATTGTTGGTTTAAATTTTTTAATTATTTTATTATATAAATAATAACAAATCCAAAATATTTGGTAATACGATCTAATTTAAAATGTATTATTGAGAACTGTAAGAAAGATAATAAATTATATGATTTATAATACAAAAATTAATAAATAAAATAAAAAATTTGATTAGAAATTATTAGAATTCATACCAATTTTCGAAAGAACACTTTAATTTTTCAAAATTTTAATGTTTTAGATTTCTAGAATAAATTTAGTAAAAGAGATTGTTAATAGAAAGAAAGAGATTTCAAATGGAATAAATTTCTTTTAAAAAAATAATTTTTTAGATTTATAGAATAAATTTAGTAAAAAAGATTGTTAATAAAAAGAGATAAATTTCAAAATAACTAAATTTTAAAAAAAAAACAATTATTTTCTACTTATTTTAGTTGTAAACAGAAATAAAATAAAATATGTTCAAGGCGGAATCGAACTTGAGAAAGTGAAGGCTCTACCATAGAAGTGATAACCACTCCGCCACATCAGTGCAAGTGTGATTACTTTCTACATTAATAATATTTATTCAAATTCTGTCATAATTTAACGTACCGTGGGAATTATCCCACATCTAACATCGAGTTTTAGTTTGTGTCTATAAATTGCTTTGTAAGTTTCAAAATTGTTATGTACGCGTGCCCGAAGTTACTATCCACGCGCGGCCGATGGGAAACAGTGTTGTTTTGACACGTGCTATTCATCTTTAATTATAAAATTTAAAGCTTAAAAAATACATCGAGTAGATTTATGAAAAGTTGAAAACCTTGAAAATTGAAAATTGACACGTACTATTCATCTTTAATTATAAAATTTAAAGCTTAAAAAATACATCGAGTAGATTTATGAAAAGTTGAAAACCTTGAAACTTGACGGTCCAAAAATGCATTACAAGATGCACTATTTTTAAAATTTGAAATCTATTTTTTTTCTCGTGCCCATGCATCTTGATGATAAGATAATCATTTGAGGACATTTAAAAATCAAAACAACCCTTTCTACTCAAATTTTTGAGATAGATTTTAATTTGATTGTTTAGAACCTCGACTCTATATAAACTTTTTCCTTTTCTTAGTTATCGAATACGGCCTAAGAGTACGTGCGTATGTTCCAATTTCGTTTTTCTAAGGCAAGGGCTGGTCGTTTGGATAAAAAGGAAACAAATCTTGGGCAATTTAGTCCACTGCGAAAGCACATTGCCGAATGACACCGATCTCCTTAAATATTGGACGGTCCAGATTGCTCGTACAGGAAATTAACAACTAAGACCGTACATTAGCAGACCCTTACCCGAAGGCTAAGGGTTATATACATGCCCATGGTGGCCCACAAAAAATTGTACACGTGTCAATCATTGACTGGAAGTTTAAACCGATTATACATTCAAGCAGAACGAAAGGACAGTGATGATTGCGGGACCCACAATTGCTTTAGGACTTTAAAATCATTAATAATGGAGGGGAAAACTTGACCCTTGCCTCTCTCTTATGTGAAGAGCACCTATGCTATGTTTACTCAGAAAACATAGTTTATTTTTACTCGTTTGGTTAGAAAAGTGTACGCGAAAGTTATCATTAATTTTGATGCGGATCTTTAAAAAAATTATCGTGTAGAATTTGATTTTTTTAAATAATTTTATTAAATTTAATTGTAATTTTTTATAATTCTACACACATAAATAAAAGAGGGTCCTATAAGATCATTTTTCTTTTTGTTTAATCTCAAATTTTAGGAGCTACATAAGAGTTACTAGATAATTATTTTAAAAAATAAAAATAAAAATAAAAATATTATTTTTTAACATGTGGATCTTACCAATTGAAAATTGGAGGGTTTTTATTCAATCTCGAAATATGACGGTTTTCAAATGCAAAAAGAGTACAATTAGGAATGGGAAATTATAAAAAATATACTTTCATTTTTTTCAAATTGAAAAAAAAAAAACTTTACAACTTTAATAAACTCTATCTACCCCATTTTTTTGGTTTTTTTCCTAAAATAGCTTTCACAGTAGTCGTATTATTGTGAAGCTCTAGCATTAAGTACCGTAATAACTCCTCATTTCATACGCCATTTTAAATTTATTGATAACTCGAAATATTTTAAATGCCAAAATTGAAAAAAAAAGGGTGTAGACAAAGTCTATGAAAATTGACAAAAAATTTTCTAATTTGTAAAAAATTAAAGTATATATTTAGAATTTCTCTTTTTATTTAAATTAATCTACATATTAAAAGTTACATCCCCAAAATTTATTATCCTAAAATTAAATCGAAATATGATTTTGCCGGAGGGAATAACTAGACCATCAATTCCTGCCGGTAGAATATCTTTTGGCATTTGTTTGTGAAAGCAAACACCCAACCGCAATCCTGCCTGTAGAATATCTTTGGCTTTTGTTTGTGAAAGCAAAAACCCAACCGCAACTTTAGACTGTGCATGCAGAATATTTCCCTACATCAAATGTTTAAAAAGAGGTTATCTTTTTAGTGAGAGAAAATATTTGATCCCCTTTTAGTGGGAGAGAGGTGGATGAGAAATGCTGGGTTCAAAAAGAGGTCTTTAGTGTGAGGAAATCTTAGTTCATCTTTTCTTAGTGAGATGAATTGATGGCACTTTGGGATAACATTTTTGGCACTTTGTCAAAAAATATGAAGCTCCTCTTTTTTTTTCCCATTAAAAAAAAGTAATATCATGCTGGGGTTCTTATCTAGTGCAACATCACTAAACCTTAGAAAATCATCATCACTGTCTCTTTCCAATTAATTGAAAATCATCATCACAGTCTCTTTCCAATTAATTGAAATCTGCTATATAAATCTTAATTCGTCATTCTACTCTATTTAAGATCATACTCTCATTGAGATCATAAATCCCCATATCTTTTTGAACTACCTCCAACCACATCTTTTTAGACCTACCTCCCGCTTTTTTCAATCCTTCCACTTCAACTAACTCACACTTCTTAATAGGTATTATACTAAATCAACGCCACACATGGCTAACCCACATAAATCTACTCTCTTGTATTATTGTTTATTATAATAGATTCATTTCGAATTCTATTACTTCTTGTCTTACCACTCATCCATCTCAACATTCTCATCTCCGCTACACTCATTTTATGGGTAAATTGTTTTTTATCCGTCCAACATTCTGCCTATAAAACAAAATTGATCTCACAATTGTCCTATAGAACTTATCTTTCAGCTGAGAAAATACTAAGTGAAATATTGAATTAACAATTTTACGAATATGTCGGATCCCTCAATGTCGTGAATAAAATTCCTCTTTTTTCATTTTCCTCCCATAAAATGGAATCGTGATTTTCATTTTGAATGTTTCTTGAGAAATCATTTGAGTTCTCTATCTCTCTCTCCCTCTCTCTCTCTCTGCTCATATTCAAACTTGAATGCTATGTCCCCTGTATACTTTTTCATTGGTCTGAGCGTAGATTGCTTAACCTTTTGGAACATCATATTCATCAATCATCAATAAAATAGAATAGGCCACAGAAATTAGAGAGAGAGAGTGTGTGCGTGTATAATGTAATGTCATGAGTAGATCCATAAGAGTAACAATAACAAGATTGGGAACAAAAGCAAACTCAAATGGCAGTAAGAATGAATGATCATCCAAACTTTATCCCAACTACTTAGGTGGAGAGAGAATGAATACGTCCCTGTAATAAATTAGTGAATAAAGAAAAAGTAAAAGGCTTATCTATTTCATCTACAAAGATTTGGGCCTGATGGTATAAAAATCCAACATCTCCTCTTCTACAGGATGGGTCTTCCCCACTATGACGAGGCAATGCAAAGGTGAGCCAAACTCCACATTAACTAATTCCCTCATGGAACCAGCCACCACAACTTGATCTTCACTACCCAGACGGGCAAAGCCAACACAGGTTGCCTCCTCACTGTAAGCTACACAGTGATGCACAATGCACGCGTGTGCAGGCGTATGAGAGAGAGAAGAGAGAGAGAGAGAGAGAGAGAGGGAGAAGAGAGCATCATTATCTTCTTTAAAGTTCTACAGTTCTAAAAAAAAAAAACAAAGCTACCCAAAACATGCTTTAAGAATTAAAAGCTACGAAAACATGAAAAGTATAAAATCCACCCAATAAAATATTGAGAGAGATTCATCATCCTCTCAAGCGCTTCAGCTTAAAACACAAAAAACTACCCACAAAATGATGCCTAAAAAAATCCATATAGAAAAACATGTTATAAGTTTATTACATATACTCTAATGAATCATTACATTCTTTACATTGATCTGCAACAACGACATAACCAAAATCTATCCACATCACTAAAATGCATAAAAATCTGCATTCACATATTATCCTCTTATTATAATTAGAGTTCAGAAAGGAACAGAGGGTTATCTGAAAGAACTCCAGAGAAACCCACATAATCATAGAAATCAACATGTTATACAAATGCATGTGCACTAGACAGGTATATCTTGGATCACCAATTCCATATTTCTCATCATTTAACATTAACTCCCAATATTTGGCATGTCACAGGTTCCCAGTATTTGACAATCCTAGTACCCCATTCATTTCCAGTGAATTCAACCTTAATTCAACAGACTCCCTTTCTTCTTCAATCAATTGAAAACATTATTTTCCTTTTTCCTTTCCTTTTTTTAAAGTGAAACACAACTGATCCATCATAACTATATGGATTAAATCAAAACTTTCTTTGAGCAAAAATATACTATAGACCAGCATGGCATATGGTACACCAAAAGACATCCTCTGTCTGTCCTGATGGCAGATGGCAGAGATGAACCATATCCAGGTGAATCTCCATCATCAGGAACCAAGGTTAAACCCCAAAGTCATCATCTTGAAGGCCATTGGAAAATCCCGAGGTGTACCATACAGGCATACACCATACCGATGGATGGTATATTTTCCCCAACTAGGATGCATAAATGAAGAGATGTGCATGAACCTGACAAGGACTTCACTCTTCTGCATCAGATTAGGACACATATGTACTGCAAGTTACGCTATATTAAAGGGAAGTATACTATAAGCCAGTCGATATTGGAAAGACTATAGTCCAGTCGGTCATCACCTTCCATTGAAATTAACATGATGAAGAGAATGGGATCATCATAACAGGACACTACCCCAATTGATGGGACCATTAGAACAGGATATTAGCCAATGGTAGGCCCCACTCTCTCCCCATCACCTTCCATTTCAGTGGATGGTCATGATCCAATTTACTGCAGTTCTCGTATAAAGCATTCTTTTCTTTTTTTGTTGAGAGTAGCATAAAGCATTCAATTATAGTATACTTCCCAATATAAGAAAAGGTTAATATGGAAAAGAAATCCATTGATTCATTGAATAAAGCATGATGCGAGTGTAGGCTACCAGATTCTCCTCGCATTTGTTCAACCTCCAAAAGCTGTTCAATGGCATTTTGTATTGTCATAAACTTCGGAGGCTCGTAGCATTTCTTTCCTCTGGAGAGATTCATTAAGCAACAAGCAGGCAGCTAATTAGTCTATGTCTACAGAAGGTTGGAAATGTAAACTGCCTAAAAAGAGAATCAAATAATTAATTATGATATAATTTTGAGAATCAGAAATAGAACTGTGAAATTTCAGAAGATTGCAAAAAGGAGCTTTCATTGGTACAAACTACAAACAATGAGGAACTATGAAAAAGATGAAATGAGAGGAGAAAAGCATGAATACATCCACCACGTCTACTGTCCCACCCATGGGCATCACATCGAACACCAACACCCCATTGTACCCCACAAAAATGGCCAATACTTTATCCTTTTCCACCACAACAGCACATATTATACCCTGTCCCTTACCACTACCAAAGCCAAATTCTCTCTGGAAGCCTGAAACGCCTCCCGCCCCAGAATTCCGTACTCATCCCCCATTCCTGCTGAAGTTCCTCAAGCCTGAAATCTTCTCCTCCCCTCCTTCCCCTACCTCCTCCCCCCCAACCCAACCTAACCCATTCAGACCAAGCCTCCATTTCCTTATCCAACTCAGATCCACGATTACACCATCCCCTTTCCCATCCTACAACCTTAGAAGGACTTGACCGAGACACATATTCAGATAACCGAGTCCCTTTTACCCAGTCCCCCCCCCAAGCCAGCACTAGAAGGCTAGAAGCATGTCTCCAATAGTAGGTGTCATGCAGTGTACACAGAAACAATTTTCTCCATTGTGCCGTGCGTCAAAACATGCCAAAAGATAGGTGTCGACACTGGTAGACACTCCTCTGACACCCTGACCATACGTGTCAGGTTACTTGACTTTCTAAAGTATGAGTCAACATTTTCATAAAAAGTCTAGAAGACATGCAGTGTATGAATATTAAAAAATGTGTGCCAACCAATTTCGCACCCTGCTCAAACTCAAACCCGAGACGTGCTAAAGTGAGATTCAATCTGCCATGGGGACCTTGTAACCTTGATGATAGATTAACAAAGATTTGTATATACTTATACTTCTACGAGACAACATGTAATAATAATAAATGGTACCCAACAAATGTTGTGCCCACTAAAACTCGTATCCAAGACCTCTTATTAGAGTGAAGTCCACTCTATCAGACATGTATCATTGATGGTTATAAACAAATATCAATAATGTAATTGATACAAGACAGCGTGAAACAATAATATATGGCACCTCAGAGTATGTCACCCATTGGTTTTGAACCCCACAATCTTTCTCTCTTCATGCAAGTGAATTGGTTTTGAACCCCAGAATTTTTTTCTCTCTTAGTGCAAGTGAAGCATGCCCTACCATCTAGACCATGTGGGCTTAACATTTTAAACATCTGAAATTCAAATACACAAGCAAGACAATTATGGGGCATTGTACCAATGTCTCGAAAAGTACTAGCTTTTCAGCCTCCCGTACTAGACACTCGACATACACTGCACACCAACAAGCATGTTAGTGCCCATGTAACACTCTATAAATTCAGACCCTTAAGAGGGGCATCTAGTATAGTACACATGCAATTTTATAAAGCAATAAAGGTGCGCCACAGCCCTTTTACCCGTGTGATATTGGTGCATGCACGTAGGCTGAACTTAACCCCTAAGATACCAGACTTAAAAGCCAAGGCATGTCGTTAGTCTAGTGAAAATTTAGCCCCATGACACCAGTGCTACAATGAAATCAGCACAAACGTGGTGTCCATAATGTAATAGGAGTGTCTAGTACGGAAGGCTAAAAGGACAGTACTTTTACACATGTTCATACAACAATTACCCCTAAAACTTTTTTACTTTAAATTTCTAATGTTTAAAACATTAATGTCACATGGTCAAATGGTCCAGATGGTAGTGTGCTTCACTTTTAAAAAGAGACGAAGGTTGTAGGTTCAAAACCAACATGTGACATGTATTGCTTCATTCATTTTATAAACCATCAGCACTGTAAAGTCTCCATGATAGACTGAATTTCTCTCTAACAAGAGGTCTTGGCTTCGAGTTTGAGTGGGGCACAAATTTGTGGGTACCATTTATTATTGCTTCATGTTGTACCATAGAATATATATACATATAAATCTTCATTAATATATTATCGAAGTTACAAGAACCCTTTGGTAAATTGAACTTCACTCTGACAACATGATTTATGGTCGAGTTTAAGCGGAGCATAAAATTGATTGGTGCATATTTTTCAATATTCAATCAAAGGGACATGGCGTGCCTTTTTGAAGTTGACACTTCTCATGAAAGCATTGGCTCAGACTATAAACATGTCAAATAACCTGACATGTATGAACAAGGTGTCGGAGTGTCTACCAAAGTCACACATGTCAAACATTTGACAAACAGGGAAAAATGAGGTGTCTAAGTATCACCGCCTTAAAAATTACATGGTGTGAATTTCGAATTCATTGGCCACCTGACAGCTACCCTTTCTCATGCATAGCCTGTCCAGGGCGTCATTACACCCACTCACATGGCATGCAACCATTACAAAGCCCACCCTCTTCGCCTAGTCCTGCTCTAACTACCATCTTATTTAACTTTCAAACTTGATCGTCACAATCAAGCGCCAAGCTCAAGCTCAATTGATGCACCATCTAGCCCATTAGCCCACCTGTACGCAAGTGTGGTTGTGAAGATTGAGAGCCTTACACACCAGGCATTGCACTAGCCTTTCCTTCCACAATTGGGTCAATTGGTCCACGACTTGAGTACCTCCTCATAGAGGTTTGTCGGCCTAAAGATTGGACCACTAGGAGTGATACCTAAATGTCTTATCTGCATCATGATGACAAGGCTCTAAGAAGTTCACATGAATCACTATGGGTGAACCCTAATACGGTCAAGGAGGGCCAAGCAGTAAGCCAGCTTGCCTATCCAACCTTATCACGTCAAATCGACCATCATACCTCTAGGTCAAGCCAATGTGCTGCTTGGGTTGATCTTCTTCCATATTTGGGGAGTGACTTTTAGCAACACCTAGTCCCCACCTTAAGTTCAAGGTGCTGCTTGCCTGCCTAAATGCACGTACTTTTTCACCTGCCTTACTGCCTAATTAAGGCAGTCATGCTCTTCCTCGAACTTCGCCTCTCATGTTCTAGCAAACTTCTGGATGGTCGGCCACAAGACGTGCTCCTACTACAAGAGCTCATCATGTGGTGCCAAGGGCTGTTGACTGACGACTAACTCTAAGGTATTTTTCCACTTTGAAGAGTTCCAATGAAGATCGCAACAAATTTGGGCTAAATCTAGCTGCTAACTGTGCTAGTTGGCTGAAACATAGCGTTCAACGTACTCCTAATATCACGTCCACCCTCCCAATTTGCCCTTTTGTCTAACGCATAGACAGCAAGTCGGGGAATAATAATATATCAGCAAACCAAATATTGGTAATGAATCGGTTTTGTTCCAAAAAAGTCGGAGGAAAAAATCAGGTTAAAAAAATGGATCACCAAAAAATAAGGTAAGTTATAGAATCGTAAATATTTCGGATTTGTCTAAAAAAAGGGAGTGAAAAAATCAGATACGTAAAGATGACTAATAGAGGATTATGATTTACAGTTATTATATAGATACATTAAAGCCATTGAACAACAATGTCATGGCCTTGCCTAGTTTAGTTAGAGTAATACTTGACAATTTATTGTCTAAACTTTCAATAAATCCAACAACAATGCTTATTTTGTTGCCCCAACATGAAACATATCACGGATTTATCAGGAGCATAAAATGAAACAACAACAATACTTAACACCAGAACCACATTAGTAAATAATCGACCAAGGTATAGGATTGCAGTTAACTAAAACAAAACACAAAGGCCCAAATATGTAAATTAGTGGTCCATCCAAAATGCTGTCGTATACACCAATAAAATAAAATAAAATAAAATAATTAAAATATACAATTAATGAAACTTCTTTGTGCATAAAAAAAGCAACAAAATGCTTAAGCAAATTCAAATGTCACACTGACTACCTAAATCTTTAGTATCATTGAATCTCTTCTTTCTCTTTATACGGACGCTTTGGGTATTAAAATATATATATATTTTTCATTTGGTTACTCTTCTAGTTCTGCCTATTATTTGATATATATAATTGTGCTGATATCTTCTTTTTTGGGGGAATATATTGCTGATATTTTTTTATACACTTCTTTAAAGGGATTTTTGGGTGAAAGTTTTTATGGAATTTTGCTTTAAGTCGAGATTCTTAATTTAATCCCACTGTGGAGAAGTTTTTTGAGAAACGATAACATATGTGTTTCTATCAGTTCCATTAAAAAAACACGATTTTTTTAAGATCTTTTGAAAAAATCAGAGTAAATGGATTTCAAAAAATTGGATATTTTTTTAAAAAATCGTGTTTTAAACAGAGACTTGCTAACTATGGTGTGAGGATGGTTGCTAGTCGAGAAGTTTAGCTCGGTGCCCATCAGTTCGAACAAGTGCCCTCAAAACCGCTTATGAGCTGCACACCTTGGTCATTCACGATTTCCTCCATTATACACGATATCTTCTCAATATGGGTGAGGACCTATGCCACTAGTCCATGTGCCATACATGAGAACCAGTCAACTACTGCCATGATCTGGCACATGCTATTCACCTTGGGTAGCCCATTAATGAAGTCCCATGTAGAGGCCGACCTATGGACCCTCAAGGGATTGGGAGGGGCTCTGGCAATCTGAGTAGCCTTCGTTGATCGGACTGGTCTTGCCAGCACACATGATAGGTTTCAACATAGTGCTCTACTTCCTCTATGTGAGGCTAATAGTAGTTCCAAGCTATGCGAGCTAGGGTCACTTCTTGTGAAGCCCCACAGTGTAAGGTAACATAAACGCGTCTTTCCATTGCCAAACCCATTTTGGTGTGTCCCTCCTAGACTTAATGCACTAAGCTTCTATCTGATAACGTGATAAGGTTAATATGGGTATCTGAGTAGATGCATCCAAGCAAGCTTGCTTCTACTCAGACCATAGCTG